GTGTGTGTGTGTGTGTGTGTGTGTGTGTGTGTGTGTGTGTGTGTGTGTGTGTGTGTGAGATATACATCTATCATCCTCAGGCTTCCCACAATCCTTTGAGTGCCACATGAATGACAGCGCGGGTGGAGGAGTCCCTCAGCAGCGCCCGCCATCAGGAGAGTTTATGTTAATTCAGAGGAAACCTGAAGATGAAGATTCAGCTCACGGATCAAAGAGAAAACATCTGAACCGGGCCAGAACTGGGCCAGAACCGAGCCAGAACCAGGACCCAACAAGAAGTATTTCCAGAAAATGACACAAGGACGATGCTGACGGGAGGATGAAGGCAGAAAAATAAGAGCTAAAGTTCTGATGAAGCTTATTTTATGCAGGCATGTTTAGAGATACCTGCTCTGAAGGTCCAGCTGCTCTGAAGGTCCAGCTGCTCTGAAGGTCCAGCTGCTCTGAAGGTCCAGCTGCTCTGAAGGTCCAGACCTGAAGAAACTGGTTTTACATCAAGTCCTCTGACATTCATCATGTATTCCTGCAGAGAACTGATTTAATGTGTTGAAAAAAAAAAACTGTTTATCAGATTAGCTTTAGCCTGTTAGCATATTGTGCTCACCTCTGACCTCTGCCCCACGCTACCATCACGTTATTTTAACGGCCTTAATAAAAGAACACTCCGTGTTTCTGTTGAAGGTTCTTGTTGTAACGGATGGAGGAAAGTTAGTAGTTTACCCAGAATCCTCGGCTGCAGCTGTTCCTGTTTCCACACAGAACAGGAAATGATGTCGTCATCTAAAACCAGGTGACTGAATTACCAACAGCATCCTGAATATTCAGTCTTTCAAGCTTTTATTTTTATTCTCTGACTGCAGCTGAAAAAAAAACCAAGTTATCTGTTAATGTCAAACTTAATATATTTTAGGAGGGCAACGACAGAATATTCACAATTCAGTTTCATACTTCAGTCTCACAATTTGATTTTTTTATACACAAAAGAGAAATGTTCATGTCCTTCTTAACTTGTAATTTATTGAAATTGTTTATGAACATTTGTTTAACCTCAAAAGTACAGTTTTTAAATTAAACATTGATAAAACAGCAAGTTTCTCAGTGGATCTGCGCTCGACA